TGGAGTTTTTCAAATTTTTGAAAAATTTCAAAATTCATCTTCAAATGAAAATTAAAAATTTTATGGCCATTCATTGGATAATGGTAGAACTTGTTTTATTGGATACTCTTGTTGTACAATAGTAGTACTACTATCTTTTAGGCAAGAGAGAGCAAACCCACCCACCCAAGAAATAAGAGAATAAAAATAATGTAGTTGGCATGTCCCAGTAATATGGTGCCACGTGAATCAGCAGGGAAGACAGTGATGCATCAGCCACGAGTCCACCGACAGGTTATACACACCGGGCCACCCAACCAAGTGATGATTAAAGATCAGATTGTAACGCCCAATCCCACATTTGATCCCATCTTAAAATGTATATGACCTTTAGGTTTGAAGCTAATAATAATAATACATGTTAAATTTTGGAACATTAATTCGATCAGACACGAAACAGCAATTCGATCAGCATCGCAAGTGAAATAGTAATGGAACATTAATAAATTTGTGTTTCAAGTGTGATAAGTATTAGTAGTATTATTTTTCATCAGATTTGTGATAAGTATTCCTTTGGTGGAACATTCATGTTTCTAGTGAATACATCAGATTGTTGCGGAGAAGCTGACACACATAATTCTGGTTGTGCGCCAAGAGGACAAAAGCGCCTACTGCAGTTTATATCAGTTGACTGCACTAGACTTTGCATAGACACTAGAAATGTGGATTATTTCTTTACTTAAGAAGCTCATGCTCAGAGGAACATAACTGGCAACGATCACTACCTGGGAAATATTTCCTTCTTATCGCATTGATCACATCAAGAATGAAGCTCTGATATGAAGAAGATATACCAAAACCAAGCAAAAATCTTCCACCAAACGGATAACTCTGTCTTCTCCCCAGCTCCATATTCATATCAACAGAGCTCGCATAAAGAGTTAAAGTAAAAGGGAACACAAAGCAAGCATTCTATTAAAGCTAACAAACAGAATTGATATCAGATTCCCTCTCACTTTAAATGGAATAAAAGAAGGAAACTGCAGTAAGCCAGAACCGGGATAAAAGATGAACAGCTGGCATAAACATGAGAACAATCACCAAAGTAGTGCTAACAGCAGATGTACTATATGTTCTACCAATTATGTGAGGGAAGCAGAACTCTCCATGTTGAACCTATTCATGAGGTAAAACATATTTATGCAAACTTCATATGCTAGTCCACTAGAGCCGTATAATACCCGCATAACATAGAAAGGATAATGAGCAAGAAATGGGGCCTAAACGGTACAAGACTACGTCCTTAACAAACAAATCCATGATTTTCTGGTCCCTAAATGCCCCCAACATTATGTTCAGTATGCATAGCAGGTAATGCTCTATTGGAAGTCTATATTACCATTAGCCTTTAGGGTAAATAGTCAAACATATTGATTTCACCAGTTCATCATGATCTGTAGACAAAGCCATATTATTAATGCATATGTTGGAAGGTGAAATTTTTATCTTTGGCTTCCAGAGAAGATACTGTAGTATGTATTTCACCAAAGGAAGTTGAAGGTGAAGAGCCTAAAGCAACAAAGTGTAAGCCCCACACATCCTCGAATTAATGCAAATGAGATTGCAATGAGATTTACTCAAAAATATTGAGGTGTTGTATGTCCTATCTAGCATGACCTCACTTGGTTGCTTGGCTTTCTCTTGGTTCTCAAGTCAAAGGTGTAAGAACCTCATTCTCAATGTCATACAAACGACATACTTAATGTCAATGTAATACATAAGAACAGATTTCAGAAGAGTTAATCAACATTGCTGTCGTAAAACTGCAATAGCAAAGAATATTCACTAGCCAACTGCTCAACTATTCAATTAGAAGAAACAGTAAATGACGTCGTTATGAAATTGAAGATGGTGATATCAAGTCCATTTAAAAAGTTAGGAGCAAATCTTTTCCATTTGGGTTTGAGTATCAGCATATAAAAAGTTTTAACATCCCAAAACATTTTAGCATCTAGGCACCAACCAAAGGTGGATATGATCATCTAAGGTTTCCGAGATAAGCAAACGATCCAGATTAATAAAACCTGCAACCATTAAGAGAATTATTTTTTCCTTCCTAGATTTAGCAAATTGTTTTTTTCATTCAAGAATGAACTTTTAAAATTATGAAAAGAGAAATGGAAAAGGCAATAACAAGGAAGGCAAAGTAGCATTGTACATAAAGAAGGTGCATACTAGATGTGAATACCTATAGGTAAATCGCCTAGGTCTCTGTAAATAGCTCAATCTCTAAGAAGAGGTTAAGGGCACTCTTGGAATTGTTTCAGGAATATCAACATTTTGATGTCAACCTTTTGCATACCTCCACATGCTTGCCCTTTTTCAAGACAAGAGTAGACGACCGTTTACTAATCATGATACAATTTCTCTCTAATGGCTAACGAGGACCATGAATTTCTACCTTAAGCATCAACACAACTATATGATGAAGTAATAGACAACTAAAGATGACAAAAGTAAAAGAGCATAAACATTTACTTCCAAACAAAATAGCTATAACTGTCAACAAAAGAAAAAATAAGTAAGTGTACAAAGAGGAACTCCCAAATAAGTAAAATTAAGGAGTTCATAGTCATAGAACTTGCCTATCAGCAGCTTCAGCAACAATAGGCAACCTAGGAAGCTGCCCCAACAAGCAACAAGAAGAACCATAAACTAAAGACACCAAAAGGAACAAAAATACAGTGCTATCAAAGCTCATCATCAAATCCAACCCCAACCCATCTTTTGGATTAAAACTCCTCTCCAAAAGATCAGGAAATATGAGAAGCACATCAAGAACAATAGCCTGCATGGTATTGAACCGCACATACCTACTGAAATTGTTATTTCTAACAACAACAAAGTAAAGGGTAAAGAAAATCAGCAACCCATTAAGGGGGAAGCTCTTGAAAACCCTAATAGTTGGGACTAAAGGTTGAATAAGGGTTTGGATTGGAGCAAACTGAGTGATGACATATTTCCCATATTGAATACCGTCAAAGAAAGGGTAGAAGTAAGTGATGGCGGAGATTAAACGATCTGGGCCATCTGCAGCATCGTTGTTCTTAGATTGAGCTCGAATTGTAGGCCTTTTTGGGCATATGAGTAGTGCTCTTTGACGAAATAGTGAGTGTTTGAGCTGGGTAGTAAAGAGAGAGGGTGTAATATTGGTGGATAAAAGATGGGTGATGGCCATCCTGTGAATTGAGAATTCTTGAGGATGGCCAACTGATATTTTGTTTTAGGGGAGATAGAAGAGAAAGGGGGAATGGGATTGGAGGATTTATTGGTAAAGTGATTTTTTTAAACAGTCAATTGAGAAAATCTTGATTGAATCGTGGGTCGGGTTATATCGATTCGGATCAAGATGCCCAAAGCCAATGGAACCACAAGTGCGGGCATTTTCATATATCTTCATTTTTTGGGGCCACCATTTAAGTTGTACTCGCACGGCAAAGAATTGTACAAAGTGTACCGCTTGGATATGAAATAATTCAATCAGTTCAGTGCAACTTTATAAATTAACTCTGAAGTTCTTTTATCTTTCAAATGCAACTTCAGAATTCGATCTGAAGTAGTTCAATCTCTTCAATGTAACTTCTATCTTTCAAATGCAACTTCAAAAATTCAAATCTTAAGTAGTTCAATCTATTGAATGCAACTTCAAATTCAAAATCTTAAGTTCTCAAACATAAACTTGTTCATTGAATTTCAACAATCCAATACACGATTTGTAACGACCTGACCTGTTGTTTTGAGCTCTAGCATGTCATTCAACGGTTTGAGACCTTGAGTAGCTCCATTTTATGCATTATGACTTGCACGCATTGTCGGTTTTGATTTTAGAGAAGTTCGGAGATGATTTGAAAGAATAATTCTCAATTCGGAAACTTTAAGTTGGAAGAGTTGACCAAGTTTTGACTTTCGAGTAAACGACCTCGAATTTGGGATTTGATGGTTTCTATAGGTTCGTAAGGTGATATCAAACTTACGCATGTCCGGGCTGAGTATCGGATGTGTCATGCCCCGAACCTGGGGAGGCGTAGCCAGTACCCAGTGCCATATTTGCCCCGAGTGTACCACTCTGTAACTGTGAACTCTGGAGGGGTAACCCTTAACTTAAGCCGATAAGCCCATATTCTGAATCATCTGAAAATATCGTCTCTCTCATCTAAGGGGTAAACATACCCAAAATTTCATATATATATATATATATATATAAACACTATGCGGGCTGATGAGGCCCTCATGAATATCTACTAATATACAAAATATACATGACTCATCTACAAGCCTCTAGAGATAACTGAACTGTACCATGGTCGGGACAGGACCTCGACCTACCCATCAAACCTGTATAAAAAATGGACTCCAAGGTCTAGACCTGATAACTCAGGGGAAGTGGAGCTTACCAACCAAGCTGATGTTGGCTCTGTCTACTGGAAAGGTCTATCAAACTGTCTATCAGGACCTGCAGGCATGAAATGCAGCGTCCCCAACAAAAGGAACGTCAGTACGAAATAATGTACTGAGTATGTAAGGCAACAGAATAACTAAAAGTTGAAACTGAACTGATAATATAATAACTACAAATACCTGGGAGTCAAATATAATTTGAAGATATGCTTATCTGGTGATACTGACTCATCTCTCTCAATATAGTAAGTAAAATAGTTGTCCAGCCCTATAAGGCTTGGTATGTATAACTGCTCTGACGTAGTAGGCTCGCTCATAGGCGCTCGGTATCTTGGCCATTCTGGTCTCGCTCATAGGCGTTTGGCCACAGTAGGATCGATATATAACATACCATTCAGAGGTTGCCCAATAAGGGCTTGCCCGCCGATTATAGCTTGATGATCATGAAAATACTGTAATACTACCTAATAGGGGCCTTCCCACCGATTATAGCTTGATGGTGGTAAAAATACTGTAATACTGTGTATATACATATAGACCCTCTGCTCTCTTGACTAGAAGAAGACAATACTTAACTGAATATAAAGTCCTGATAAGGGAGAATACTATAACTTATGAGACTAGGATAATGTACATAAGTTCAGGAATACGAAACCTATTTTCTTCAATTCATTTAGCTTCGAAGCCTTTGAAACCTATTGGTACTTGGTATTCATAATCTTAAGTATTTGTAACCTCCAAGTTAACATGATTAACTTACTTTATGTACTTTTACAGATGATCTCCTTTCATAGCTTACATTAATTGACTTGCGACATACTTTTACGTACGAAAACATGGGGTGTAACAAGAGGTTCCGGGAGCGATTCAATGCTTATTGTTGGAAGTTTACATTTTTGAAGGTTCTGAATTAGCTAAGTTTAACTTAGAGTGGACTTTGGTGTTATCAGACTACGAGCGGTGTTCTGGGACCTTGTATAGGTTCATTTTATTTATTAGAATGAGCGTGCGAAGTTTGATCATGATCTGAAATGTCTAAGTGTGATTCGTACACATTCGACGAAGTTTGAAGGTTTGAAAGTTATGAAAAGGATTTTGATTATCGATTCATGGTTTTGATGTTATTTGTGGCGTTACGAGCTTTTGGATAAGTTTGGATAATGTATGGGGACTTGTTGGTACGATTGGACGGGGTCCCGGAGGCCTCGAGTGTGTCTTGGATGGTTTCAGATCAATCCCTTTTGATTTGAAGTTGCTGGTTTCTGGTGTTAGTGGTGTACATCACGATCGCGTAGAAGGGATCGCGATCGCGGAGTGCTGAGTTGAGCTGGGAAGAAAGTGTTCTTCTCTATCGCGGTTAGGGTTCGCGATCGCGGTGCGTATTCTGATTGTGCTTCGTGTTAGCGTAGTGAGGGTCACAAATGCAATGTGTTAGTGGGATGGCCTAGTTTGGACGGTTTCTCATCGCAATCTCATATAGGAGTTTGCAATTGCGTAAGGTATTTTCTGAGCTTTGAAGGTTTTGGCCTTCGCGTAGGCTTGGCAGGCTGAGCTTCGCGATCGCTTGAGAGTCCTCACTTTTGCGAAGAGGGATTTCTAGACGAGGCTAGTTTGGCCTTCGCAATCGCATGGGTGATTCCGCAATCGCGAAGAAGGATGCCTAAGCAATGAATAAGAATGGAAGTCGGGACTTGGCTCATTTTTATCGTATTTCTCTCATTGGAGCCAATTTTGGGGCGATTTTTAGGGCATTTTCCCTCATCCATCACCATAGTAAGTGGTTCCTACTCATTATGAGCTAAATACATAGATTATATATGGATTTGAAAATCAAAATTAGTAGAAATTGTGGAATTTTGGAAGAAAACCTAGAAATAATATTTTTGAGTTTTGACCACAAAATTAGACATGGAATTGGGAATAAATTCTATGTTTGAGTTCGTGGTGCTATGGATAATATTTATCTTGGAAATTTTTTAGAATCTGGGCACGTGGGCCCGGGAGTTGACTTTGTTGACTTTTCATGTGGAGTTGGGGATTGCTTCTAATTGTTAAATTACGAGCTTTTGAGTATATTTTGATTGGTTTGCACGTTCTTTTATTAGTTTCGGATCGTTTGGCATTGATTTGAGGTGCTAGAGATGCGTTTGAGTTAGTTATCGGATTTCGAAGTGAGGTAAGTCTCCTGTCTAATCTTGTAAGAGGGAATTTACCCTGTATGTGCTATAGTGTTACATGCTATATGTTATGGGAGCTATGCACGTATGAGGTGACTAGTGTCCGTGCGTATGCTAGATTTTTGATTATATCTGGGTAGATGTGGACTCATATTATGTTTTAATTGTACTATTTAAGCTATCCTTGCTTGCTTAAATGCTTTAGTTCATGTTCTTGCCTGAGACTAGACCTGCATAGAGTATCAAACTTTACCATTCTAGACACTTGACGTGCTACTTGATTAGCCGCGAGAATTATACTTTTTCTTTTGGATTTCTTCTTACATGAATATATTTGTCCAAAAAGTTTTTTGAGTTCATAACTCGCACATATATTTGTGAGTTATGCTGATTACCCACCAAAAGTTTCATCATTCTTATGGATCAGGCTAAATGCTTCAGCAGTACTATAATGGATCGGGTTGTACGGCCTCAGCAGTATTATGAGATGTATCCATGGATTGGGCCATATGACCTCGGCAGTTACACTATTTTATAGATCGGGTTGTACGACCTCAACAAATCATGCTCCAATATTCGATAGAGAGTCATTGTACCTATGCATCTTCCTGGCTTGAGATTTGGCATTTTGTTTGTTATTGATCATACACATGTCCCATTTGAGGTAGTATTCGGTATGTGAGGATTTCGTATCTACTCTTCTGTTGAGGATCGAATTATGCATATATATCTGTTTTGTTGCTTCTACCTGCTATGCTTCATACCTGTCTACCTTTTTTATACTTTGATTATTGGACCCCTAGTAAGTGTCGATGTCGATATTTTATCACTAATTCTTCGAGGTTACGCTTAATACTTACTAGGTACGCATTAATTTACGTGCTCATATTATACTTTTGCACTAATTGTGTGCAGCCATCCCGCCTTCAATAGACCCCGTGATCCTCGACTTCTGCGAACGATATCGAGTGACTCTTGGCCAAATTCATCCGTTGTTTTGGCATATTGTTTACATGATCAGATATTTTGTGCACATGATTAAGGGGATGCCCTTCACCATCGACTACTTGATCAGAATGTACAGTCCCTGACTCCTCCGAGGGGGCCTGATTAAACTCCGATGTTGGGCCTCAAAAGCCTTTTTGCTTGTACTGATGAGGTTAGGGACGGAGGGTGGATGAGCCGTTTTGTCTGAGTTAGGACCTCGGACCTGATCCTAGTAGAGAAGATGTTGTTCACGGAAAGGTAGAACATGAAATGTAAGTGGATACGCTGATTAAGTATTTTCTTTTCCTTTAGGATCAATTTCTCCATGAACTGACTTCCTCCGCTGATGCAGCTGATGAGGTGTACCCTGGCGCTGTTAGAGATATCTCGGGCTGGGTTAGCCGGCTAGATTCGACTTGCCCATATGTTGAGCGTGTGTGGCGTGACCTGTCTAGGACTCAATGAGAGGCCAAGAATCACAATGAGCCGTCACTTCTGCTGCAATTGAGTCTCTCAAAAGAAGTATCACCGATTGCGCCCTTATTCCCTACGTTTATATTTCGTATTTGTGCAGGTTTGGGAGAGGCCTCCTTGATGAGAGAAGCACTGCTTGGGGAAGCGGATACCCAAAAACCCGATAAAGAGAAGAAAAAACGAAGGGAATCATCAAGTGAGCCTTCGAAATCCAAGAAGGCCAAAGTAGAATAACCT